GACCCGGACCCCCTGCCCTCAGGTGGAGGGGCTTCCAGGAAGGTCTGCATGGGGGTCACACCCTCCCCTCGGGGTCACCAGCTCCGTTCTGCCCAGCACTTCCTGGCCGACTCCGTGTCCCGGAGCGATTACACCCATTTCACAGATGGGCCAGTGGAGGCCGGCCAGGAAACGGGCCTCCTGCCTGCAGCTCAGGCCGTCGGGTCTCAGGTGTGATGAAGCCGGTGGATGGAGGACTTGCCCGTGCGTGTGGGACGTGCAGAACGGGAGGCCCCTGGGTGTGGCTGCCAACCGCGCCTGCCGCCCACACGGCGGGAGCCCTTCACCAGCTTCCTGGGCCGGGAGGGGCCTCCTCACCCCTGGAGCGATTGGGGTTCTGTTAGGAAGAGGCTAGTCGCTGAGGAGCAAGAGGCTGCCGGGGGGGCTCAGGGGCTGGTTCGTGGCAGGAGCCCCCCCACACACACAGCGTGAAGTCAGCTGCTTTGGGGCTCAGGGAAGGCCACCTGAGCAGGAACAGGGAGGAGGTGGTCCCACAGGAGGGGGAGGGGCCGAGACGGTCCTGGTGGGTGTGGCTGGGCCTGCTGAGCAGAGAGCCCTGTGACCTACCTCCCACCCCCAGCCCCGCCAACCGCAGCCCCCAGAGGGCAGGGCCGGCCCCCAGGGCCTATAGATGCTGAAGGGCATTGAGGTCACCCTGGTCCCAGGAAGTTATCACTGAATTTCACCACCGGCCCGAGGGAGGGGCTCGAATGGTCCTCCTTTTTTTTCAAATATATTTTTACTGGTTTCAGGACCAGGTCTGGGAGAAGCTGGGCTGCCCTGGTGGTGACCCCGAGGGGAGGGTGTGACCCCCACGCAGACACGGTGGCCTCACCTGTGTTAAAGCTAAACACGCAGTAAAACGTTCCCACCAGTTCTGTCTCCCGTGACGCCGTGCGCGGCAGGCACAGAGCTGTGACCGCCCTGTGGGTGCTGGGTCGGGAGGGACGAGTTATCGACGACCCGGCTGTTTCCGCCCGGGCCCCCGAACAAGCACGCGGAATTCTCTGCTCCCCCCACCCCCCATCTTTTTACATACACGTATATATATTTTTTAAATATATTTTTATTGATTTCAGAGAGGAAGGGGGAGAGAGAATCATGGACCGGCTGCCTCCTGCACGCCCCCCACTGGGGATGGAGCCTGCAACCCGGAGAGGTGCTCCCACCGGGAATCGAACCCTGACCTCCTGGTTCATAGGTCAACGCTCAACCACTGAGCCACACTGGCCAGGCTTCAGCCAAAGTCTGTTGTATCCCTGGCTGTGCTGGCTCTACTTGGAGAAGCTGTGCCTCTTGGGGGGCCCTGTGGCTCTTGGGGACAGACCCAGAGAGCCCCCCGGAAGGACCTCAGGGGACGCTCGCCACGGGGAGGGCGAGGACTCCAGGCGAGGTCACCGGGGAGGCCCACGGACACACGCCGGGCCCGGGTGCTGGCTGACCTCGGCCTGTGAGCAAACACACATGTCCCCGCGGGTGTGGGGTCACATTTACAGAGCGTGTCACCGGGACGCCCGCAGGGGCCGCACACGTTTACAGACGAGGAGACTGACGCCCTGGTCTCCGTGCAGGGGCCCTAACAAACACTGCAGACTCGGGGTTCAGACCGACGGACCCCGTCCCGGCGGCTGGGGGCCCGAGGTCGGTGCCGGCAGCTGGTTCCTGGGAGGACC